TGCCTACTTTTTAACCTGTTCAATGTGTTTTTGCTTTAACACATATTTTTTCATTGGACAAGTTCTGTTTTTGTTTTTCCTCCCAAACATGCCTGTTCTCTTTTCATACTGTTCTGATCTTACCTTATGGCTTCTATTCGTTGTTTTTTTTTTTTTAATCTCTGTGAACACTGTAAACATACATATTTAAGGTCTCATTCAGATTGTTCTCTTATCTCTACTTCTTTGCGTAGAAATTATATTACTTACATCTATCTGCTCATTCTCCCTCCAGGTAATTTATTTTCTTAGAGATTGTAATTTTTGACTATGAGTTAATTTTTAAAGGGGAATGTTTACCATGTGAGTCATGTGTGCCCCAGGATGTTAAGTATCTTAACAGGGAAATTTCACATTTGCCTTTGCCAAAGTCTTTAGATTTTCCTGGTTCTAGACCAGTTTTTACGTTAATTTTTTTCAGCTTTGCAGATAGTGTGAATTTATATATATTCATGCATAGTAATAAGTATGTAGTTCTAATTTATTACAGACAACTCTTTTTCCATCCAAGACACTGAGAAGATTACAATTTTCATGCTGCTTCCTTGGAACAATGGATGAAATTTTTTTAGCTCATTTTTCACAAACATGGTAGCCCTGTTTGGGATCCCAGCTTCATGTGGGGGTCAGTTACAGCTCCCTACATCATATCAGCCTGAGATCTTATTTCCTGTCCCCATAGTGGCTTTAAAACCCCAGCCCCTAAGCATTATATCGGCTTTCAGCAGTCCCTGAAATTATTCAGCTTCAGCTCTCACTTACAGCTCTGGGTTTGGATTTCCTCTCTCTTCCTAGCACGTGAGGATTTCTTTTTCTTGCTTTCAAGCTCAGCTCCGTACTGGACACTTTTTATCCAGCATCTTTATATGGCTGGAATCAGGTTAGGGGTTCAATATCATATCATTTCAACATATGGAACTATAGAAGTCCAAACTGTTTAGCACAGCATAAAAGGCCTCCCATGACTTGGTTCCTGACATCCT